TTTGTAGGCTTTTGTGCTTGTTCTTTGGACAACCTCAACATCGGCACGTACCGGAGTGGGAGAGAGGTAGGAGGCAAGCCAGAATGGTAACGTGATAGTGCAATGCTTTTATCTATTTGTTTTCTTTGGTAGCCTCTATTCGCATTTCTCGACTAAAAATTTGCCCGAGTAACAAATGAAGTCAACCTGAGTAGACTCTATTCTCTATATATAGAGAAAATCTTGCATACAACGAATGAATAGAACATCCTTGTATCTGATATTAACACAATGCGCCTTTAGACACACTTACACATGATTTACGCAAATCTTATACTCAATGCCACGACACTCCAAATTATTTTCTTTTCAACAATTTGATTGATGAAATTTGTAGGCTTTTGTGCTTGTTCTTTGGACAACCTCAACATCGGCACGTACCGGAGTGGGAGAGAGGTAAGAGGCAAGCCAGAATGGAACGTTGTTGTGACGAACAACTGCAATTGTGCTCGAAACCACATAGTCTTGAGTTGCCAAGGATTTCAGACTGTGGAACCTGTTGATCCAGCAATCCTAGAAAAGCGAGGGGACGAGTGCGTCCTCATCAGAGGCGATAGCTTGGCCGCTGGTGCTTGGGATCCTCCTGTGCATATGCTGCCTAAATCTTTTAGCGGTGGATGTTGAGAACTAATTGAGAGGGGGGGCTAGAGGTTTTGATGCTTTAATTTCAACTGTAATACATGCCGAAATAAATAGTCCAACTACGAAAATCTGCCCAACAGTTTGGTTAGAGAATCGATCTATCGTGTCGGGTATACTACCAACTCAATCAGGTAGGATTTTTTCAGTTGGCAATTATATCTTAACGGGAAATGATTTTAAAAGACGAAACGCCACTGTGATTTTTATCCATAGAGAGAGAGAGAGAGGGAATTATTAAAGGTGTACAACTAAGAAATCTGATAGCTTAACAAGTACTGTAAAAATTTCTAGCATATGTGGACCTGCCACCTAAATTACTCAACTCCTACAACCCCAAATTCCCGATAGCTTGAAAAATGCGGCAAGTTCAGAGAAAAAAAAAATAAATAAATTCATTTTCTCCTCTTAGCAGGTGGCTGAGGAATGTCTTCCTCCTCATCTTCCTCGTCCTCTTCTTCTTCGTCTTCAGTCTCTTCCTCCCCATCATCACCATCATCATCGTCGTCATCGTCGTCATCGTCTTCCTCATCTTCTTTCTCATCATCATCACCATCCTCTTCGCTTACACCATCACCATTGGCCTCAGGCTCGCCTTCTGGATTACCTTTACCCTCATTGTCTTCTCCTGAGGCGTCATCCTCGTTGCCACCATCTTCATCCTGGTCATCACCGGCAGCATCATCATCGTCGTCATCGTCGTCCTCAGTTTCACTTGCATCTTTGTTCTCAGGACCAGGTGTTTCCACTACATAAAGCTCAGTGATAGGAAACCTGCAAAGAAATTTTGGTTTCACTAAATTCCCTATCACAAGAATAAAAGATAAAATGGCAAGTCCAAACACTAACCCCGTGACTGCCTCAGGTTCTTTGGGAAAAACATTGATATTGTTTCGCACAGATCCCATCTGAAAAAACCACAAACATGTGAATGGAGATACAAGTAAAATTAAGTAGTTTCCTTACCAAGTCAGCTGAAAAAGTTCAAGTCAGAAGCAAAAGGGACAATAATCCAAGAAGGCGAAACTAGATTACAACGACAACGCAGCTTTATAAGAAGTCATGCTACAGACACACAGGGTCAGAAACGACTTTAGCTTAAATGCTCACTAGGATAGCCTCATTTACTCGATCAGAGGAGTTGGACTTTTATACATTAATGGAAGTATCACTGATGGCTACTTTCATTTTCAGATAAGATAAGAGATAGACGATCAAGCCAATAACAAAGGCCTTCAGATTTCAATTTAAAACAGTGTGAAAAAGCGAAGGAAACTTAAAACCTACCCCAGCAACACTATCCGTTCAAGACCTGAACTATGGCCTAGAAAGGTAAAATTTGTGTTCCTCTCCACTTGAACAACCTGATTAATAAACTAGGAAGCTAGTCATACCTGAAATTTGAAAAAACTAGTTCTATATTTGTAAGCCAACATATAAGTACATGACAATCGTTTTCCTCCCCTCCCCATGGGGACAAATTGAGTGTAGACTACATTTTTCTACGACCCTGCGACATATTCGACCTTTATAAGAACAATATTAAAGCAGAAATATACTCTAGTTTCAGCAGAACCATGTGCCAACCACCATGAAACACAAGGAATTCAAGATAATTTAGGACTAAAGGCTAACGTCGCGCATTATCATTATGGCACAGGAAGTATCTCATCTGGAGGACATCGTAAAGTTAAAGCGACAAACAAAACATGGATCAGGCCATCATATAATTGAACCCCAAGTTAATTATATTCAGTCTACTTCCAGGTCATACGATTCAAACTTTGACAAAGTCAAGATCTAGGGAAACGCAAATCAAGTTTGGAAAGAAACAGATTGTGGCACAGATCAAGTTTGAATCCGTACGAAATACTCGCTAAACAATAAAAAACACTAATTAAAACCCCAGCATATCAGAAATCATATAATTATAAAAATGTATGAGAAACAACTATCCTACAAGATTCGGAGAAAAAATCGAAAAATTGGAAACCAACAAAGCATCTCAACAAATTCATATAGTCCTTAAGTAGAGCAAAAATCATGAAAACCAAACATCACAGAAATAGAAGCAAAATATATAAATAAAATTCACAAAAATCGAATCTTAAGCTACGTATGGAAGAAAATCCTAGTTCTTGAAACAAAAAAAATAACAGAAAACCCCCCAATGCACAAAACACAACAAATTAAGCAAAAACCATAAAATTGATAAATAAAAACAATTCAGAACAAAAAATTGAGCCAAAATAGTTGTAAAGTAGGAGAGAATACCATCAAGCAGGACAAAGCAAGAGACTTGGCAGCAGCAGCAATGGCTGCCTCAGCCACCAAAGCCTGCACCACAGAGCAGAGAAAACCGTCCAAAACGAGGCCGTTTGAGCAGAGGCCGTCCATCTCCATGCCCAGAAACGAGTTTCTAGAAAGAGAAAATCCCTAATTGAGAGAGAATTTGAGGAGAGGGGGAATTTAGGGTTTTGGGAATTGGGTTTTTTTGCTAGGGTTTTGAGGATTATTGTAAATTGGGAAAGAGATTTTGATGCTACCGTAGCCACTAGGACCTTGGTTTTGGAAGGAGTAACACAAAAGATGGGGTGACAGTGGACGAAAACGACGGAGAGATATTGACCGTAGGATATGTAGCTAAAGATAAGATCTTGGATGTTAGATGTGATCCGAAGGCTATGGTTTGGCCGTCGTTGCTTTGATACGAAGGTGCTGTCGGGTTAAGTTTAACTTCATTGACTTTTTTTGTGGGATTAATTACGGTTTTAGTCCCTGAAATTTAGGAAGATTTTAATGTCGTGTTACTCGTGTAAGCCTTTAGACCGGCTCTGAAATTCCGTCAAAAGAATTGACGGAAGCTAAATTTAAAACACACTCCGCCAACAACAATCAGTAGTTATTACCAGAATTTTTTTATTTTATTTATTCAATCCAAAATGTTAGAAAAAAATGATCTTATTTTTTAAGTAAAATTTAGAATTATTTTTGAACTTGCACTTGAGTTTAGAATTCAACCCTAAACTAAATTTCCGTCAATTAACGCCTCTTTATTTAACTAGGTTTTTACTATTCTTCCTTCTAGATGATGTAAGTCGGTTTTTCTTTCTAAAATAATCAAGTGCCATGCATATGAGGTATTTTTTTAGGAAAAAGGATCCTCGTCGGATTCACGATCGTTTTTCTGGGGTTATAAGGATTCCGTAATCATGACCGTTCATCTTACATCGTGCGGTCAGAAATCATTTCAAAATTTAAAATTTAAAATTAAATATAAATAGTAACTAACAAAAAGTGATCGCACGATGTACGATGAACGGTCACGATCACGGAATCCCTACTATCCCAGGAAAAGCATGCAAGCTATGGTTTAATAAAGGTCTCTGTAAAACGTACAAATTGCAGCAAGGTGAAGAAGCATGCAAGCTTAACATAATCGCATTTTAAAATTTCATCCTTTCGATCCTAAACACTCACAGACCCCATTAGAGAGGAATCATTCACCCTAAGATATTACAAAATCAGAAAAATTAACCAAATAAAGATCCTCCGACGTCGGACGAGATAGAAGCAGCAAGAACGGCAGCCGATTAGCGGGAGCAGAAGCAGAAGGTGTAAAGAGAGGGAGGGGCGGAGGTTCTGGAACGAAAATCGAGGCCATGGACGATGGTTTTGGGTCTATACAGTCGAGTCACCGCTGGTGGAGTTGGAAAATTGTTTTGATTTTCAGTTGCGGCCTGCAATATATATTTCTTTACAGTCTGTTACTACAGTTTTGTTTTTGGTATTAGGTTTTGTGACTGTTAACTACCGTCTTCTACTAACAGCTTCGGTCCTCTACTGTAAGTGCCCGTGTTGTTGTGCTAGCCAGACTTGTCATCAGAGTTTAATTCTCCTCCGTATTCTGGCAGCTTCAGCAGCAAGCAGATCGAGTAATTATCATCTCAGCTGTGTTGCTGGTGTGGTGAAACTCCTTAGTTACCAAGAAATTTGTGGAGGCCGGTGGAATGATAGATAGATAGAAAGACAGATATACGGCCAGATCAGTTCTTCCTTTACCTCCAGTGCATGAACTATAATATGTCCATGTCTTTCTTGGGTTTCAAGGCTAAATAAAGCACTGTCTTTTTATCGACAAAAAGCAGTTCGACTCTCCGGCAGCCTTCTAATTTCTCCATAAACCCTGTTTGTTTTAAGTTGCTTCAACTTCATCTGGCAAACATGTTCTTCAGATACCCATGTTTGATACCCTTCCATAAATTAAAAAGTAATATGGTCTATATATATAAAATATCAAAACCAACCGAAATATGATCTAATTCGAATGAGGGTGAACTGAGTCATTGTAGCAAAGCAAAGAAAGTCTGAGACAATTACTACTCTGGGCATATTGGACTAGCCCCAGAAATAAAAAGTTCCAGAGTACTATAGAAATGGCCAAAAGAAAAGAAAAATAAATCCAAGTCGGCAAGTCCCAACTAGGCCTTTTCAGAAGGGAGAAGTTGCCTTCCAATCCCCAAGCTTCCTTCAGTTGCAGTAGTATGGAGGCCGTTGTGGACATGTGGTGGCATACCCCATTTGTCCTCTGATTCGAGTGGCTCGATTATAACAACTGTTCCATCTGTTAGTCCGATGGCAAACTGGTTTGGCTCTTGGGGATGTGCAGCTATAACTAGAGGATGAGATGCGGAACTGCTGCCGAAAAAATATAGAAAAGAAGTTAGTCAATCATGACCGTAACTGTTTGTTAAACTTGGTGTAGGAATAGAAATACAAATTATCAATCGAGATGTAGCAAGGGAAAGTTAATCACCTGACATCAGGTGGGAGATAAGCATTGGGGTTAATCTGGCATTGGAGTTGAAGATTTGATGTAAACACGCGCACGGTTCCATCCATAAAGCTTGCATACACGAGCTGGCTATCACAAGAGAATGTTGCGTGCGAGATTGGTGCTGCAGGTTCTTCTACAATCCACTGAAACATGAAACAGAAAACATGTAATAGTTTGAAGGAAAAAACATGTAAACTGGTGTACTTTATCATAACTGTTTCTACATTGTTTCGGCTAGTTAGAGCTAAGTGATTCACTGGATAATGTGCGTGCCGCAATAAAAGTACCTGCTTTTCACATTCAAGTTTCAACGAGTCATATAAGGCAAGTTGACTCTCGTGGATTACAAGGATGTGCATCAGATCCTTGTGATACTGAAGCTGAGCTTCAACCATTGCTGTAGGAGTCCTTCCAGCCAGAATTCGCAAGAAACAACTGTTCCCCCTTTCCCACTTATCAGAGTTCCACACAATAAGCTGGGGAAAGAAAATACAAAAATTATGTTACCCAAACCAAACAAAAATCTTTTTTGTGTAGAATTATTCATAACGACCATACTTGTTCTGACATTTTCGATATCTAAGCCATGGTAGGAAAGTGTACATTTTCCAATTCTCTCTTTTCATTAAACTGAAAATCACATCGAGATGCCTACATGAGGATGAATTACTAACCTGAGCATCTGCTCCAAGAGAAACAAGTGTATGCTGAACATAGGAGAAGGCAAGACACGTGACTCTTTTTGAGTGACCATTAAGCTTGATCTTAACCTAACACCAGGAACAAAGTGAGCACCGAGATATATATGTAATTATGTATATAGTAAACATGAATGCAGTAATTCGTGCACTGGGCTTTACAAAACCACATACCTCATTTATGCGGACATTGTATATGTGAATGGTGGAATCATCCATGCCAACAGCAATTACATTATTGTCATCAGGGTGGAAAGCAAGACTTGTTGCCACAGGGGGTGGAGACATGAAAGTTGTCATCGTCTGTAGTTAAAGAAATAAACTCGTCACTGATCAAGAGCCCCAACCAATTTCGGGAAGATAAAATTTCGTGTTTCATGAGATAATATGTGTAAAAGCAGCTGAACCACAACCAAATTATGTTGAGATATAAAAACTTGCCTTGAATGTCATCATGTTGAACAAAGATACCTTCCCTCCAGAGGTTGACATGACATACGAATCATTCTTAGACAAAGCAAAGCAAGGTAGTGCACAATCAGGTTTAGCACCAGTAAGATCATTCGTCATTAGAATGCCTGAAGGTTGTTGAATGAACTGCGGGGTAACCTTGGTCGTTGCCTAGCGACATAAAATTGCATGTAGCCATAATCCTCGCTTTAGAATACAGGAAGGATACAATCATCAAATTTGAACTATATGTAACAGAATCTAAGAAGATACAGAGTTTATACCTTTGCTCGCAAACTATGGTCATCCCGTGACCACCTCCAAAGGTGATGGATGGCACTGGATCCCAATGCTAGAATGGCATTACCTGAATAAGTGTATGTCAACCTTGAAATCTCTGTAACGATGACAAGAGAAGACAATCAGGAACTTTCTTTTTCTTTTACTAGAAAATCAGTGATTAAAAAAGAAAACAAAAGCAGTGTAGTTGTCAAATCACAAGTGCATAGTCAATGAGATACCAGAATATCACAGTGAACTACTGCCTAGTTATCGGCAAAATGCATGGGCAATAATTGAGAGTATCTGATGCTAAATGATATACAGTTAAGACATCCAACCTTGTCTGTTTTCATTATAGACGAGAGCCTCAAGGTCCGAAGCTGAGAAGTTTCAGTAATCTGAGTGAGTTTCCAGATCCTTGTGTTTGTTTCTTCAGCTAATCTAGTTGGTTTCACCTCCTCCATGTTTCTGGTGCTACCACTCTGTCAAAACATGCTCGATTTATTGTAGACTAGAACTAAATAGTCAGATTACTGAAATTGAAAATTCAGAATTTTAAACGATGAAGCAAAAACGTTGCGCATGACCGCGTGGTACAAAATTGCACAAGGAAAACATGATGCAACCAGCATCATTAAATACAGTTGCAATCCTTGAAAGTTTGCACCTTGCACAGAGCTTATCGAAAGAGGTAAAGATTCTTCTATTCATGGCATTAATAGAAATTTTGATAAGCTGACCTTTTTTGCAGTCTCAGATCCATTTCTTGTAGCAATAGTCGAGTGATTTTCAATAGTGCGCATCAGCTGAAGACCATCCATTGTAGCTAAAATTTTGACTTTACAGTCGTTTGCAGAAACAGCCAGTAAAGAGCCCTCCTTGTTGAAGCGAATGCAAGGACTAGCCTTCAAAAGGAAAATGTTCACGTTTTAGTACAGCCATAACTTCGTCAGAATATAATTCCTGCTCGTTATTCATAGTTTTAAAGGAAACTTACTGGTAGACCACCTTCAGCATCAATAGTAGTCAAAATATTGATTTTATCCATATCCCAAACTTTGATTGCATAGTCATCGCCAACAGCTAAATACTTATTCTTGCTTGTATCAAACTGAACAACACCCATAGATGGTTTTTGAAATCCTACGTAGTTCCTCCTTATTACACCGTCATTTTCATTCCATTCAACAACATGAGATTCTCCATCTTTGCTTGTCCCGCATGAAAAGAGCCTGCATTGCGTTTAATGTAAAGATTGAATTTTCTTGTTGCCCAGAATATAGATGTAGGTCGCAATAACATTAGAAGGGAGTGGTATACCAACCTTTTACCATCTGCACTATAGGCCATTGTTGTGATTGAGTGACCAGGAGCATCGTAATCCACCCGGTATCCCATATTGTCGTATAGCCATGCTTTTATTTTTCCATTTACTGATGTTGAAAAGAAAAACTGAAACACAAGGGCATAAGCTGAATTTCAAAACAGAGTAAATCATTCATAGAAGGCAAATGAAGAGAGACAAATCAAGGGATTAAAAAAATGATAAGGCAAAGTCCTTACATGGACATTTTCCTTGTTATGAGGGCACACAGAATGCACGGCAGCATCATGACCTTCGAAAGTATACAACTTTGACCCAGTAGTTGCATTCCACACCTATAAAACACAAATCGATGTATAAGTTTATCGTGTTTTCCACGACCTATTATATCACCACTTCTTCAAAACCAACCTTAATGGCCTTATCATCACCGCAAGTTATGGCACAAAGTTGCTTAGCCGGGTTGCAGAATGCCAAATCATTAACACTACCAGCATGAGCATCGATCTAGAAATTGATAAAAGTATTAGAAAAGAGAACAGCAAAATGAAATATACTGAAAAGGTAGAAGATGCAGAACCTACCTCCAAATGCTGGTGAATCTCATTCCCACCAAAATAAGCGTATAATTGGATAATGTGTTTAGAATATGCAACTCCTGTTTGAAAGAACAATTGCACTTAAAGTTTTCTAGAAAAAACTACCGTGGATCGTATTCAAGCTTACCAAATCGAGAACTTACCAAATAGAGTACCATCAGGGCTCCATAATATACGCTTTACTGAGACGCATGGATCCTTGATCAGAGTTGCCTGAGTGTCATTAGAATCAAATAGGTTAAGATGATTCCAGTGACATAAAATGTAAATGTCATCTGTATGACTCGGTTGATAAGGGAACATACCTTCAGCATCATTGAACTCGCTCCGATATCCCATACCTGAAAACTTCTCGACAGCAATTTCTCCCTAGAACTAACTTCCCACAAACTTATGTCCCCCGTGTTAGTTCCAACTGGTACAAAAAAAAAAAAAAAAAAAAAAAAAAAGCCCCTTGTCAACTTGTTGCTGCTTAAACAAATACCTATAATCTAAGAAGTAGTATTTCTTCTCTTTTGATTGAAAAAGTAATCGTCCATCATTAAAGGAAACCTCAGAGAAACCAACCCAGAAGTAGTGTATGCTGAACAGGATGGAAGTCCATGCTTGTGGGAACTGACCCCAGATTCAAGGTCCGAGCAACAGTCTTTGGGAAATCTGCTGCGTTGAACGCACTGCTACTTTGTCCTAGATTGATCCCTTGCATCATACCCTACAGAGTGTATAAATAAGTATGGTCCAAATTCAAATTCTGTGCTCATGTAGACGGACTTTAAGCTTACCCTTTCTGGATCCCCAGTAAATTGCGTTTTGAACAAATCATCAGAATCCCCAGGACCCCTCACCGATGAAGCTAGACCAGGCAATAGAATTTTAACAGAAATGACAATGCAAGCTTATTCATTCTCTAAGCCCTGGGGAAAATTACATAGAAATAAAAGAAAGACTACCTGGATTTGTTAGACTACCAAAACCATTACCTCCTCCCGAAGCTGCTGGATGGTTTTGGGGAATAGATATCCATGTGGATAGAGGAGGTTGAACTGGAGCTAGCGGCTGTTGGAAGGGCTGATAGGTGAAATTCAAGTGATCGTAAAAATAACATAACGGTCAGAAAAAATCCTTCACTCCAAAGCAAAATTATAAATCAAGTAGTCTGAGGACAGTACCCCATTTGCACTCATAGGAAGAATACCATCAGCTTTTGGTGCAGAACCCGTCAGCTGACTGTTTGCGGTTAATTGAGCAAATGAATCATTGGAATTCTTACAAGAATGGTCCACAAATAGGGTGTTTATATCAGGATTCAGTCTAGGATTTGAACAAAGGGAATGCTGCCAATTCAAGCTGCCATATTCATTCCAAAATCAGTTCATTTGCAATATAAAGGTGACTGGTAAAAGATCGAAAACATCAAACTGGAATAGAACCTTTTTCTTTTTTCTGGCCGTACACAAACCAAATTTCATAAAAAAAATCACAGGAAAAACAATCCCCTAACATGAAGGAAACACAAATTCTCTTATTTTTCTTATGGCATATTACTGTTGTACCTTTGGTTAATGAGCATCCGCAACCTTGAATGTCTTAACTGAGGGAACTGTGTTTTGTCACGGAAAATAGGATTGGCCTCGATGAGCTTCTTAAGTTCCATGACCATAATGGCTCTCGCAGTTTTTGTATCTCTGTAACTCGCGAGCTGAGCATTTTCCCTGCATAACCCCAATCAATTTCATAATGCCAGTTGAGAGAATCATACTACAACCAACTCGAAGCTCGCAAAATTTGTGCATAACACTTACCTGAAATTGTTTAATGTGAGGAGCTGAGTGATTTCCTTGAACAATTCTTCATTAAAACCCGCGAACATCTTCAGATCCTTCACTAGGATATCCACTGCTGTGGCTTTATCTTGCCTGATGAATTCCAAATGATTAAACCAGATACAATGTCATAACAAATCCAAAACAAAAACAAACAATGCATCTGTTTATAAACAAAGTGCAAATCTTGACAAATCAAATGCTTACTTATCCAATGCCTCGAGATACTTCTGTTTACGAATTTCAAAGAAGATCTTCATTGAGTATCGGTTGTCATCTATTTTCGTGAACCCCAAGAGATACCGCTCGACCTCATCCCACTTCCCTTCGAGCACCAATTCCTCAAAATACTTCATATCGAAGTACAATCCAGATTCTTGCTCAAGTCTGTTATCAAAATAAAAATTTAAAAAAAAATTTAGAGAAAAGCATGAGCTGCAAAAACATGTACAAATATAAAGACACGGTAATTCGGGTCAGAAAATTACTTATGACGAGCTTGTTGAAACTTTTCCTCATCAAGTAACTGCATGATCAATAAGATGAGGTCCTTACTGAGAGAGGACGTCATCGTAACGGCTTCTTCTTCTCTTCAACCTGCAAATAAGCCAATTAATAACAAAGAAAAAAAAAACACATTTTTTATGCAAAAAAAAATGGTACAATTTTCATACCCAAGGAAATAAAGATTATACATACCAAAAGGAATAAAATTAGAAAAACAGTCATGGTCCATGCTAGATTATAAAAAAAAGGTTCAATCTTTGCAAAAATTCTCCAAGAAATTAAGAGTTTGTTTGACACTCTACTTGAATTCAACTTTTTAAACTCATAAACACTTTTTAAGTTGTAGGCTTAAAAAGTTTGTTTGGCATGACCATTTAAAAAACTGTAGTCAAAACTAAATTAAGAAAATAGTTCATTCTCTAAAAACACTAAAAGTGAGTTTTTGAAGCTTTAAAATTTAAACCGGCTCTTTTCTTTTCTCTCTCTCCTCTCCTCTCCTCTCACTCCAGATCTATCTTTCTTTTTTCTTCTCTCTCCTCATTCTCTCTTCTTTTTTCTTATTTCTCTCATCCTCTCTCCTTTGATCCACTCTCTCTTCCTTCTTATTTCTCTCTCCTCCGATCCTCTCTTTCTTTCTTTTCCCATCTCTCATCTTCACCCATTTTCTTCAACCTTTTTTTTTAGATTTCTTTATCCAGTTTAAGTTTTAAGATTTAAAAATAATTTTAAATTTCATACCAAACAAAATTTTGAACATTAAAGAAAATTGTTTTCAAGAGATGTACTTAAAAATATTTTGAGACATGATGAAATATTTTGAGTAAGATACAAAACGGGCCTGATATTTCTTGGAAAAGACGAGGCTCCACATCAACCAAAGTATACTGTAGATGCAACAAAATCACATAGAACTAGAAGCATCAAAATTTCGGGTGAAAAAAAACTTCTTTCTCTAATCAAATCGGGTAAATAGATACGCTTTCTTTCCATGGCAGCTCAGAAATTATTTTCCATCCAGATTTAAGAACATGCAAAATTTGCAACCCATGAGAGAGAAAAAATCCAGTACAATTCAAGAGGGTAGAAAGGAGGTGGTGATGGGGGAGAAAGGCAGGCATAAATGAAGCAAAAGACTAACCCTTTTCAGAGGTAAAAGGTAAAATAAAACACAAAGATTTACCTGTAAACAGAGAAGAACAGGGCCGGTGATGGGAAGGAGACGACTGAAAACTCTCTCTCTCTCTCTCTAGTCTGTACTTTCTCTCTCTACTTTCTCTATGTTTGAGAGCGCTCTTTCCTCATGCTGCTGATAAAATGTGAATGGGACTAGTTATATATAACAAGGCGGTACCTACGAGGTATAAGCTGACGGGCATATCATATAAGTCGAATGGCTGATCGATAAGCCATGCGAGACAAGTGTCTGTGGGACCCACTCGGTAAAGCCTTTGTTCTGACAGCTGTTTCAGCTTTGTCAAAAGTGACAGTGATGGTTGAGGTGCTTGTCCGTTTCTCCGCCCATTTTGAGAGAGTGTTCGTCACCCTCTGTCTTTTACTTACAAGCTAAGATTTCCAGATAAAATTCTATAAAAAATAAAGAGTATCTTTTTCTTTTTTTCTTTTTTATGAAAGAAATACGATATTCATTAATGAGAAGGAAACATACAAGCAACGAGGATAGGATGCTAGTAGTGGGCCTCGATAAAAATCTTGACGGGGCTTTCAACCCGGTTCAAGAGAAAAAGAGCGTCACGCACCTCTAAATTAAATAGTAATACTATCCTAAAAAAGCAGATCAGAAATTACATTAGGTGGTTCTTTAAACCATACAATTTGATCATCCAAAGAAGTTAAAAAGTCAACATAAGCAATAACGGAAAAAAAAAACACTTTTAGTGTTTTTCAACCAAAATATTAATTTTTACGTGGCATGACGTGGATTTATATCAACCTCAAATTTATTTTTAGAGATTAATAAATGCTTTTATTATTATCTTTTGTTCCAAAAATACCTATTACAATTATAAAAAATAAATAATAGTTTAAATTTGACATATCAGGTGAAGAACAAAATTTGAAAAAGAAGAAGATCAAACTATCAAAGTGCTATATAAGCCTACAAATTTCAATTTTATGGTTAAAATTTGACGGTCTAAAAGAATGCTAGTTACTTTCTTGTTGGATTATTTTTGCTCACCATACTTAAGTGAAAGTGATGCTCACCACTCTATTTATTATCGCTAGGTAAGTATAAATTTTGAGATCTATATGGTGATAGACATAAATCTTAAAATTTAAACTCAATTAATGGTACAGTGGTGAGCAAAAATGCACCCTCTCTTCTTGTCTTCCCTATTTGTTTTTTCATTCATTAGTTGCCATGTGGGTTCTGTTATCAGTTAATTAGGTAATTAATGTATTAAAAATGATTTATTTCATTTCTTAATCTCTACTAATTAATGAAATCCTCTTTGTCAACCAAAAGATGGTGAAAAGACAATTTAGTCTTCTATCACACAAAAAAAATTATGGGCAATAATGTAATTTCATAGGTTTAAATTTTACTGTTTTTTATTGAAGTCTCACCTACAGGTGATGTTAAAATACCTTCAACATTAAAAAAAATTTTAAATCAAATAAAATAAAATAATCAAAATAAAAAACCCCCCACGTTCTCTTTCCCTCCCTCTCTCCTTCTCGTTTAAAAAAAAAATATGTTCATACACACAAAGTGTGTAGGCAAATGCTAGTATCTCATTAATCCCGCCAACTTTTTAACCCACCATAATTTTTTCTGTTTAGTTATGCCCTGTGTAAAGCGGGAGCCTTATGCACTGGGTACGACAGTTATGCCCTGTGTACTAATGAATAATCAATTATAAAAAGGAATGTAAAAAACTCAAGAATTCTTGCCGTTCCTGTTCCCTATCCAATTTCTTCTTCTTTTCTCCTCATGTTCATGTTTTTCAACTACTAATTTCAGAAATTAGTATCAAAAAAGAAATTTGCAGAAAACTTGAAGAAGAAGAAAAATACTGAAAACTAATAAGTAAAACATTCACAACGAATATATAGTAACTAAAAACAAAAAAGGTAATTTTCTTTTATGGAATTTTATTGGGGAAAAGGTGAGTAGCATAATAAGTGAAAATTCACCACAAAACAAGTAAAAATTCAATCATTGGTGTGTTATGACATTCAAAAATATATATAAGGCTTGTTTCATAAACATGTTTGGGAACTCATTTAGTACCTATTGTGAGTATTTAGTTTTTTAAAATGAAAATAACAAAATGAGAATTTTTTTGACAGTTAGAATATGAGTTTTCAATATTAAAAATAAATAGATGAAAACAAAATAAATATTAGATAAAAATTGATAAAAACACATAATAAATGAATAATACTTGTATTCCCTTCTTGAGGAATAAGCTCATTCCCATTGCAAATAACGTATCATAACCACATAGATGTTATAATCAGAACCTTCAATTTCTTAATCTTTATTTGAAGATCAATGTTGCAAAAAATGATTCGAATTGGAGATTGTTTAATCATTCAAATGTATCAAATAAATCAACGATGTAGGTATCAGGTAACATATTAATGAGAAACTGTCCATTTTATTATATCCAATTGGTTGACTAAACAATCTTTGTTTTGAATGACTTTCTGTAAGGATGATCTTCAAATGAGGACTAAAAAACTAAACGGTTTTGATTATGAAATTTTGATTGTTAATGCACAAAACCAAGTTGACTTTGGAATATCGTAAAGTGTTAATATGTGACCTTTGTTAGGTTGCTTCAGTCACTTAGTGAGGGTAGCATGTATAGAGATAAGAGATAAGGGAAGTAAACGCAAGAGGTACACGGTTCACCTATGTTGGGCTATGTCCACATGATGGAGGAGTTCCCATTAATAACGTAAAGTTTATGTACATGATACAAGGGTTTAGATATAATCATCACTTAATGAGTTCTAATAATAGATTAAGTAGAATAATATCATTAGGGATCAATTGTGGGAAAGTGATCTTCTTTTATACTCAAGGAGAGTCCCATGTTTTGTTTGCAGTCGATGTGGGACTCTAGAAGTTTTATTTTGATGTTGAAGTACAGTGTACCACCCCTCGTCGGTTGGAGCTGTCACGCGCCGTTTTGGAGCCGACACACGCCATTAGTACATTTCGTCAAGTTGATAAAATATTAGTTAAATCTAGCGAAAAGGAAAACAGCGTTAATTGATGCCTTTAGAATATTCAGTTAAGTCTAACAAGAAACTGCGAGGTTTTTCCAAATTTTCAATGTGGGATTCACATACAACCAAGTGCTAGATGTGAAGGTAAAAAAGTTTCACATCGGTAAAAGGAGAAACCTTGCAAGGGCTTATAATAGGTTGTGCTAATCCTCATATTGTCAATTGGTTATATGGTGGAACATCAACTTTCTTCATAGTAATTGAGTAAGTTGACCCACGTGTGAAGCCCAACGCCTCACGTATTTCACGTCATCCAATTTGTGTTACCCATGTATTTGGCTTGAAAATTCATCACACACGATGGGTGTGTGAAGATGTGAAGGTAAAAAAGTCTCACATCGTTGAAAGGAGAAATAATGTGAAGGTAAAAAAGTCTTACATCGTTGAAGAGAGAAATAATGTGAAGGTAAAAAAGTCTCACATTGTTTAAAGGAGAAGTCTTTCAAGGGCTTATAAGATGTTTAGCTAATCCTCATATTGCCAATTAGATTTACAGTGAAACCTCAACTTTCTTCACCATGGAGAGACCATCTGATATGACAAAGGCTATCAATAATGATCATACGGTGACAAGCTGATATAACACGACATATCTATAAAGATAAAACTCTTGTCAACTTAAAATCGCCTATAACAAGAACACGAGAAGCGAAATTAAATAGTACAACTCAATCTGAACTTTTGAACTAATGAATAGAGAACATAATTGGAAAACCTATTTAATATGTTCATCAATGATGCATTTTATTAAGCTAGAAACTGTGATTAAAGATCGTATCCAAATAGACTCAAAAGACGTATCAATGAAGATCGTACTTTTCTTAAAAAATAAAAAGTATTTAATTACCTTTTCTTTTCTTTTCTTTTCTTGTTATTTTGTTTAAAGGAGTATTTACCTTTCCGTTCAAGGGTTTTCTTTTCTTTTCTTTTCTTGTTATTTTGTTTAAAGGAGTATTTACCTTTCCGTTCAAGGGTTTTGTTTCCACTCCTCCTTTTCTACAAAGTCAAATGTTGCAAAGATAAAGAAGATTGGTCCCTTTTTTTCCCACACAACTTTTCACATAAATGACAGTAATGCATGTAACACACATGGCCATGCATTTTATGAACAAGATCTGGAGTTCTTAATTAGTGGCACAACTTGCAATTTGCCACTAATTTGAACCTAATTAGTGACATGGTTTTACCTTTGTGGTAGCTGAACACAAAGCCAAATTAAGGGGCTTCACGCGCTAAGGCAGTTTAATTTTTCCTTCCGTTACAGTGTCTACTTGGGGCTTAATCGTATTGCGTTCACACTAATATAAGCTTTTAGAATGATAAATTCTTGACATGCAGGTAGCGTATTAGCAACTTGAAGCGTTTTATTGGCAAAGCAAAAAAAAGTATTAGCAGCTACATGTTAAAGGGAGTCACATTTTTACCTGCTCACAGAAACTAGTTTGAACTCTATTAATTTATTTTTCCTTATTTTTTGTTTCATCATTTTTTTTCTTATTAAAGCAACATCAAGGGTTATTATGGATAAAAGAATATTACATATACAATAAGCTTAGTTGGTTAATTGTTATTTAATTTGTAACTTATGTAATATGTGTCGAATTACTTAATTAGAATATAATGTTGAATTTTATTCCAATAAAGAAATTCATTTGTTTTTTTTTCCTTGATAAATAAGCAGTTTTAGGTCTGAAAAATAAGACAACCTTGAAAATACAAATGCTTTGAAACTGAGCTACTTTGATGACATCATTTAGTAAAAAATTCAATTTTCAAGAAAAGAAAATATAGAATAGATTACAAATTGGCTAAGTATGAGCTATAGAAAAAAGAATATTCGCCAAGAAAAGAGATCGAAAAACTAATCCGACTGTGTTAGGAACGGAGCCAACTCTTCATCGTGACAGGCCCAAGAGTAGGCTAACTCGAGATAAAGTATGAAGCCACATAACTAATCAGACATCTCGCCCGGTTGAAAAGCTACAACTCTTACCTGACCATTGAAAAGCTACATTCAGTATCGGCCCAATAAAA